ACAAAGACTCTGTCTTTGTTTTTCTTTTCAGAACCTAACTCAGTGCTACACAGAGGCATTTTGTTCCATGGAATTAGATGTTCAGTGTTCCCTTTTATTTCTTCTGAGAATCCTGAAAATCTGTCTGTGCCAGTGTTTGGACTCTCATATCCTATTTCTAAGTTTCTGTCTTTGGGTTTATCTCAAAGGATGGCATTCTGATAACAGTTTTGCATATATTTTTACAATATAATTTTGTCTTAAAGCATTGTGTTTTCAAAATCAAATTTCCTGTATAAGATTGCTTAAAATAATTGCCAGCTGATTATTCTAAACATTAATTTTAAGTAACAGTACTAGAATGACCTCAAAGACCATGATGAATGAGTACCTTGGGGTTTGGAGTTAGATGAACCTTAGCTACAGACTGAGCCTTGCTTCCTGTTCCCTGCATGAGCTGAGGAAATTTGTCAAGTCTGTAAACGGAACTTTGAAATGGGGTTTATGTAAGAACCTAACTGATATAGGGGATTAACTAAGGTCAGAGATGCAGAACCATAGAATGAAGTATGACATAGAGTAAGCACATATTCTAAGAATATTTATTGTTTTTTTATATTGGTTGTTATTTTGAGGATTTTTACATAAACCAAGAGACTGTGTTTGGCCTGATCTGTGAGATGTTGGTAGAGTTATTTTGAACACCCCCCATTCTCTTACCTTCCAAAGTCAAAGGTTCTCTTGAGAATTTCTGCCAGCCTCCATGGCTTCTTGCATTTTTGCAGTCTTCTCTGGCAATATCTGCTGCTTAGTACACGGGGCAGGTTGTTTTACCATCCGTTTGTGTGTGCATCTCTATTCAATGACAGCTAGAATGGAATCTGCCTTTTCCTGAATTACAACCTTTCTACCTCCACCCTGAGCCCTCCCCACCCCCCCCCCAAAAAAAGAAAGCAACAAAAACAACAACAAACTATCAAAGAAGGCTTTTTGGTATATAACCAGCTGTTTGGATGATTAGGGCAAAGGAAGGATTGATGCTACTTTAGAGCAAATGACTTAACAGATTAGATTATACTTATCCATCCCATCCCTGGGGATTATTTCTTCTAGCACTTCACTATGTAATAAAACACTTAAAACAAGGTATAGGAATTTTTTAAAATACTCTAAAAGAGTAACAGTGCTTGTATTTGAATTATGGTCCTAGGGGTGATTTTCTTCCTTCTATATTACTGAATCTTTGAACATTTAATCAATATGTACATAATTTTTGAAGACCAGTTTTATTTTTTTTACTCTAAAATATGTTATTTAATAAGAAAGAAAAAAATGATTGTTACCTTCTGGATAAAAGAGAAATCTGAGTGAAATATCTGGAACATTAAACATATAACAACATTATTGTGAATAATAATATTTGTGGGCTACTATGAAGGCAGTCGTATAAAGCATGATCTAATAAAAACTTTGAAAAGAACCCAATTTAAATTACTGAAAATTCGATTGTTTCTCTTCTATTTTTTTACTTTGTAGGGTAATGAATACAACATTGTTAAAATGTAAGTGTAATGGGGGTCGGGGCTGTGGATCAATGGTAGAGCACTCGCCTGTCACATGTGAGGCCCTGGGTTCGATCCTCAGCACTATATAAAAATACACAAAATAAAGGTATTTAAAAAGATGTAAGCATAATATATTATTCACACTTGTCCTTCCACTGTTTTCTTGAAGACCAGTTTTAAAAACTGAGAAACTTCATGGGGTTGGAAGAGATTTTACCATGAGTAGGAAAACAAATCCTTACCCAATCATCCTTATCTCCTTTTTCTAATCCTTTAAAATGTGTTCCTTTGAGATCCCTCTAAGGAGTCAGTGTATTTCCTGTGTTTATCACAGTGCGGATGCTGGGCTTCTGTCTCTACAGCATCTTGGTCTGCCATTTGCTTCTGAAAAGCTCTTAATGTGCTTTGGCCTTGTACCCTACAGCCTCACTTCTGCATAGAGGAGCTCTTTACCTTCTCAGTGCCTGTGAGTTTGTGCGTCAGGTTCTTGGTTATGGCTTCTGATCCTGGTGCTTGCAGGACCACTTCTTTTAAGGTTGCTAGTGTGTTTCATGGGCAACTTACAGTTCTTGCCTTCCTCTATCTTTCAGCACCATGTGACATAAAAAAAAATCCCTCTCTCAAAGCATTCCCTCTGCCATCCCCCTGACAGCAACATAATGGCCCCCTTCCTGGCCACTCTTGTCAACTTTGCTCTTCAGATCCTCCTCTTCTATGGGACCTTTAAACATTGAATTTCTTCATATTTCTTCTCTTTCCACTCTGCATACTCTCCCTTCAGTCCCATGGCCTCAAATATCATTTATAAGCCAAAGACTATAAATTTACTGCATTTCAGCAAACCAGTGATGGTAAGAGGCAGCAGATTTTATGTCCCACCAAGAAAGAAAAAAGCAGTGCCAACTAAATGACACAGTGACATCACATTAGTCATATGTGAATCTCATTGTCAGAAATGTCAGGAAGTGAAAAATGTATGTAACTTCACGTAGGTTAAATGCCCTGCCCAGAGCATGCATATCTAGTGTGTTTTAAGCCGTGTTCCCAGGAGTTTGTGGCTAAGCTACAATAACTTTGCCTCAAGAAATGGGTGGTTTCCTGAGTCTTATCTCTCCAAATATGAAAGAAGCCTTATTGCTGTGTAAGTTATTACATATGTAGATGAGATAGAATTTAGGTAGCTCAGTGATGAGGCAGTCGTGGAACCAGTGGGTTTTCAGAGTGGTGCTGGAACTCTGAGTTTTATTTCATTTTTAAGTTGCTCTGGCTTAGTATGTACCATGACAGAGCCCTGAACACTGTTCTCTGTCTTCACAGAATTTATTAGGTAACAGAATTTTAATCTTTACTCTTCATTTCTTTTGCTGTTACACATCACTGGGAAATCATGCTGTTGGTGTTTCCCTCATTTTTTTTTATCATTTCTTTTTTCCTTCCATAACTTTAGAATTGCTTTTGACAGCTCTGGGACCTATGAGAACCATTGCCAAATTTTGAAATTTAATTTTCCTGCAGCAGCATCCAAAGTTAACAAATAGACATGGAAAACTCCCACTATGTATTCCAATCTATTGACTTCTGTGTACCTTATTCTGTTCTACTCGATTTTCTAAAAATAATTTAAGTGGTATGGCTTCTGTCACTTCTGTAGGAAAAAGTAATTTATGCTAAATACTTTTGGTTCAAAAATATTCCTTTATATTCAATATATTATCCCCCAAAAGTCTTGTTTCATTAGCCCTAAGTCCAGGAAAAACTTATTTGCACTCTATTTTTAGATGTTAACTGGTATAGTACCTCTGGTCCTACGCTTAATTTAGCTTAGTTTTAGCATGCAAATGAGTTTTTCTCCCCCGAAAAATGTTCTAAAAATAACATATCCCCTTATTTTTTTCTCTTCCACAGTTCTCTTTAATAATATCATTTATTGTAATTAGTTCAAAATAGAATGTTTAATAACAAAATTTTAAATAAAAAAAATCCAACCATGTGGGAATTCAAAAATATTCTCCATAAAAACTCTTGGGTCAAAGAAGAAATAAAAACTGCAATTACAGATTTTTTAGAAAGCATGAAGAATGAGTATACAAACAAAACTCAAAGGATGCAGCCAAAGATTTACTTGGAGGAAAATGCTTGAATTTAAAAACTTTTGTTATTAAACAAACATAATGAAAATTAACAAACTATTAAATCTGGGGATTTATAAACAAAAACCATATAATATGCCCAAGAAAGGCAAGTTACAACATTTATTAACAATCAAAATCAGAAATTAACAAATTAGAAAAGAGAAAAATTATAAAGTCGATAATTTAAGACCTATTTGCTTTAAAGAAAAAGACCTTACCTGTCTAATCACAAAATGGTAAAAGCACAATTCACAATATTAGGAATTAGAGAAGAGATGAAAAGGGAGAGGTTTGACCCCAGAGAAGGATTTAAAAATATTAAGAATTTGAAAATAGAAGATACTTTATAAAGAAAATATATTCCAAAAGAAGATTAAGGAAAAAAATGGAGACATGGAACAGCTCTGTAACCATATAAAAAATTGAAATCATTATTAAAGAAATATTTCCAGAATAAGATTTATCTTTATTTGTTTCAAATAATAAATAATGTGTATGATAAAAGCTTTCTAATTAATTGGTATATTCACAATATGATTAATTCAATTGATAAAAGAACTCTTTGTTTTATCAGCATTTCCAGTTTCAGTTTCCGGTGTCCTGTGGAGGTTGTCTTGACCTTTCCATTGCATTTCATGTTGGGATGATCCCAGGGCACACATCCTTAACATTGCTCCACACAAACAGCTGAATGTTTGAAAAATGCTTGCATCTTTTGGAACCACTGAATTTTTAGCTCGGTGATGAGAATTCTGTCATTCAAAAGATTTTATCCTAAATGAATATGAGGATCTTAACTGTATATAAAGTAGGGTTTCTTTATATACAGTTCTCTGATACTTTTTTCCCCAAAAATATATGTTTGTATTTCCTACTATGGTTTATATGACAGCAAACAACCATAAGGACATTTCTACAACTTTAGAAACACATGAGATCACATATCATTTTCTTTTTTCATAGAATGTAGTTCATGCATAGTCACTGTGTAATCTCAGAGCTTTACTGCATACACTTTCTGCCTTAAATTAGAATTTTTGTGTAATTACTATGAAATGAAAACTTGGACCTCTTTAAACCTCAAAGAAAGGATAGAATCTACAAATGCTTTGTAGTACATTTAAAGTCATCTTTTAGTAATTGGTGAATATTTATCGTCTATATACATTATCATATTGAAGTCTAAATAAGGGGGCACATTTTGGTTTTTGTTACTGTAGGAATTCTCAAAATTCTACATTACAGTAAGTGGGAGATTGCCTGCTATTTTCTGAATAGCCCTTTTGCTTCACTAAAACTCTTTCCATCAAACTGGTTTCTCTAGGTTGAAAATGTCCGGTTGGTTGATCGAATGTCTTCTAAAAAAGCAGCCCTTGGTACTTTGTATCTGACAGCTACTCATGTCATATTTGTAGAAAATGTACCTGATGCAAGAAAAGAAACATGGGTATGTTTTCCTTGTTTTTTGGCTTTTCGTATTTTCCATTGCTGGAAGTAAAATAATGTGACCCTCAATTCTTTCCTCAGGGTAAGGTGGGGGCTGTTGGGGTCTGGATGTTCAAAGGACTGTCTCTGGAATGTGTGCCTTGTCCTTTTCTATTGCTGAGTCATATCCACCCAATCAACTTAATCATTGTTAACACTAACCACTTGGACATCAGTAAAGACAAACCAAGATATAGCCTGCAGGTTCAAGTGCTTCATGTTATTATAACCATCAAGTAGATATTCAATAATGTCAATATGCCAGATGCAGCATTTTCATAGTGCTTAATTTGTAATATACACATTATTTGCAGGATCCTATAGTGCAGCCATTCAATCATTTTATTAGGTTGTTTCTATCTATCTGATAATTTTGAAAAGAAAATCTAGAGAAGAGTCCCATCTGCTATTTAAAATAAAAATATGAGATATTTCTTAATTTATTCAGTAGTCTAACCTTGACATTATGACCAGACCAGAATCCCTGAATGGCAGATATCTCCCTTTCCAGACTCCATGGACAGTGTTACATTTTTGCAGAGGTGGCAGGCACTGTGGGGTGGACAGGAGCTTGGAGAATGAAGTGCTGCCATGGAGGATATAGTGTGGACCTTGAAAGACCAGAGAAATGCACTTTAGCATGATTTCTCTTCAGTGAAATCTCTTCCTTAGAGAGCAGAACAGTGGTCACCAGAGGCTGGAAGTCGGGTAAGGAGGGAGGGAATGGAAAGTTGTTAACCAAAGGTACAAAGTTTCAAATAATTAGGAAAGATAGGTTTTGAGGTCTATTGCACAGAGAGGTACTATAATCAGTAATAATGTATCTTTCAAAATAATTAAGAGAGCAAATTTCAACTGTGTCACCCTAAAGAAATGATAGATAAGCAAGGTGATGGGTATATTAACTTGATTTAATCATTCCTCATTGTATACATACATCAGAACATCACATTGTATCCTAATACTGTACATAGTTATGATTTGTCACTTGAAAGTAAGAGAAAATTAAAAACTAAAATAAATCCTTTCTTCTGCAGCTTGCCTGACCACCAACAGCTCAGAAAACAACAACCCCAACTTGCTATTGAACTTGAGTGTTCCATGTGGAATTAAGGAGCATGGTGGCACCTCCCAGTGGAGCCATCTCTAACTTCTGTTGCTTGCAAAAAGTTTATTTTACTAACTTCCCATGACCTTATTTAATTTTAGCTCTTAAGCATATTCAACATTTAAGTACCAAATGTTCTCTTACCTGAAGTTGTGCACAATTGTATGCTAAATAGTTTGTTTCAAAATAATTATGCTGGATATCAGAAAGCTTTATATATATAAAAGCTAAATTGAGACAGTTAGTTCTCACTTGGAACATCTCATTTCTTGTTATCTGGGCACAGGTGGTGACTTAGCTGAAGGTTGGGTTGTGTTTCTTATTTGTGTGGCTCAAAGACCTGTGTTAGTCCTTGTCATATCTGTTGGTTATTTGTGCTTAGTGCATCCAAAATAACTTTTGGTTTCTAGATTCTTCACAGTCAGATTTCCACCATTGAAAAACAGGCAACAGCTGCTACTGGATGTCCTCTTCTGATTCGCTGCAAGAACTTTCAGATCATACAGCTCATCATACCACAAGAAAGAGATTGCCATGACGTGTACATCTCTCTGACACGCCTTGCACGGCCAGGTAGGCCAGAGGACTTGGCATTGAATATGGACCCACTCTTAAGCAAATCACAAATCATGTGCAAGAATTTGTTCAGTTTTATGAATACTACTGTTTTAGGAATTGTATGTCGTCCTTGTACTTAGCTGAGGCCAAGAAGTCTGAATGATCACCTGCCATGTAATTCCTTGTCCTTGGGGGTTTCTCCTGAGTTTGTTACTTGATGGGCCTCTTTCATTAATCTTGGTATTCACATTTTCTTGGTAGAGGTTGTGTGTTTTCCTTTTAGGATGAAATCATCTTAAAATTATGTCCTTCTGATATACTATGGTAATTGAACCACCTTGAATGAGGGCCCAAGACAGAACTGATAAATTGTTTTGCAGCATTGTTAACCAAATGCTTCTTGTATATTCCTCCTCCTCTCAGGGATTTTAAGGTTTGGTTTCCTTGGTTTTTGATGTAAAACATATTTTTCAAGGTTGGTGCACCTAACTAGACTTTTGTTAGCATCAGTGAATATTTGGGGTATGGATATGTTGATTCTTTTAAACAGAACGTCCTTAGATATGGTGGGAGGAATGTCTATTTTCGAAAAATAGTTTCTTTCATTTACAATCTTGTTCTAGCCTGTTTGTCACATTGGGGTCTTTAGTTTACTACTTACTTCTACAGAAGTGTTTTTTTTGTGTTTCTCTGTGGCTTGTGTCAGCTGTGAAATTCTTCTGCTTAAGGGAACTTTCGGGTTCCTTCAGAGAATACTGTGAAAAAACACCATTTATCTAGAAGTAAAGTGTTATATAGCAGTCCTCAATTAGGGAAATAGGATATGTGCTTATTTACTTTGCCAGATGCGTTTTGATTCAGGACAAGAAGTTTGTGAACTTTTCAAGGCATTGGCGGGGTCTTGAGATCCTTATGATATGACCATATCATTTGTAGGTAGCTAAGAGCCATATTTAATGGAAATGATGCATGCGCAAGCTGTCAAAATCTGGTAATTTTGACTTTGCTTTGTTCCCCTTTAAAGGCAGTTGGTTGAGGTCTTTTCCTCTAAGTATGTTGAAAAGAAATGCAGAGTAAGCCAGAAAAGCAGTTGAACTTTTTGGAGGGTGCACTATAATTGGAACAGAAGTTCTGGGAAGATGTACATTAGGTTGCACGCAGCAGAGAATGCGAGGAGAATTGTGTGCCAGCAACTTCTGTGTCACTGATTAATGGATGTACAGGGTAATAAATGTGCTGTGACCGGATTAATGGGATTTAGTAATAGTCCAGAGAACTGGGAAAGGGCTGAGCAGCTGGAAGAGTAGATCACAGCGGTGGAGGGGGCTGTGGCCCGGAGCCAGAAAAGTGCCAGGACTTTCACAGCGAGGATCCACAAGGAGGAAAACCATTCTGTTCCTCTGCTTTTAAAAATATGTACTTTTTCTTAAAAGGTGATGTTTTGGGAGTTAGGTATTAAAGGCAGCCAGAGACCTGACTGGTTACCTTTTCCAAAAAAGGAAGCATAGCAATTAATTGAGTTAAAGCCATCACCTGAGAGGATTTAAAAAGACTCACTAACAGTTTGAATATGGGCATTAGAAATGTCAGTTTATGTAACACACAGTGCTTTAATAAGTGTGGGAAGATAAAATAGAACTAAAGGCGGTTTCACAGATTTATATTAAAGGCAGTGCTGAAGTCAGGACATATTACTGGCTCCACCCCTGGAAGCAGTGTTTTGAGACTGGGTGGAGATGAGGAGAGGTAGAGGGGGTCAGATATGAAAAGGCCGCTCTCAACCTGGGGAAGGAGTAGTTCATAGGTTCCAAAATGCACCTTCCCCTTCCCCTTCCCCTTCTCCTTCCCCTGGGTATATCACAGTGAAAGAGATCTTTGCAAAGCTCTCAAGAGTCTTAGGATTTCTGGGATGAGGGTAAATCAAATTACTGAAAAATTGGGAGAGGTTGTTTTATTTTTATTTTTAATTTTTTTTTTTTTTTTTTTTTTTTTTTTTTTGTAAGAATAATGGTAAGCATTTGGTCAGGGGCTATGAAAGATTCTGATACAAAATAATGTGGCCAAATTCAGTAAGCTCTTTAATTCTCAGTAAAGAAACAGGTTAAAATAAAAGTTGTGACCTAAATGAGAAAATAAGTTAAACCCCATAGATCCAATTATGAATAAGGAGATAAAGTTTTCTGATTGAAAGACCCCTGTTTCTCAAGGGCTTCTGTTTTTCCCATGTTCTCTTAATTCTTGCTTCTAATTTGCCTTCTGCTGTTTGTTTTTATATCAATTATTTTTCCTTCTTTAGTGTTTGTGGGCCCTTTAACATTTAAATAATTTCTTTTGTTTATTTTCCCATTTTTACTAAATTACAGCTTTCTAGTTCATCTCAGCATCTCAACTCCCAATTCTTCTGCTTTTTTTTTTTTTTTTTCCTGTGCTATGGATTGAACCCAGGGTCTCACACATGCAAAGCACATGCTGTGCTATTGCACTGATCTACACCCCCATCCCAGTTTATTTATTATGATTTTAAAAAAAACTCATAATTAAGGTAGTCTCATTTGCTTAATTTTAACTTTTTATGTTTCTTCTTAGTCATTGATATTCAAATGGACTTTAAAGTGGAGTTTCTTATTGATGATGCTAATCTGAGTCTAGTAGTCCTTTTTTACTGTGTTAGTGTCAGTAGTCCTAATGCTTAATTCAAAATAGGCATCCTCCTTAATTTTACTTTAAATATGCAAAATCCAACAAAAGTTGTGTTAGCTTCACCTTACTCCAGATGGTCTTTCAACTATATTTATTTTAGTTGCTTGAATTCAGCAGAATATCTGGAGCAATTTGTTTATCATGAGTTACTAAAACCCCCTATTTCTTTTTTTTTAAGAGAGAGAGAGAGAGAGAGAGAGAATTTTTTAATATTTATTTATTTTTTTTAGTTTTCGGCAGACACAGCATCTTTATTTGTATGTGGTGCTGAGGATCGAACCCAGCGCCGTGCGCATGCCAGGCAAACATGCTACCATTTGAGCCGCATCCCCAGCCCAAAACCCCCCATATTTCTGTGTCCTTCTGATATAGCTTGTAACTTTGCCCTCCTTACCCATCCTTCACATTCTGCTCATGCTGAAATGGTGTTGTTTTTCTTTCAATTTTAAAGTACTTTTGATTTTAATATTAAATTACCTTTTGATTTTTTCATTTAGTCTTTAATAAGAGGCTGTTCTTCCATATTTTTCCCTAAATATTCTGTTTTCATAACCTTTTCCCAATACCTGGGAATCAAGCTAGGTGATTTCCCTTCCTTCCCTAATGTTTTGTCTTCCCCATCCCTCTCTTTCCGGTGGCAGAATGAGCATCCTTTCATTTGTATGGGAGGGAAGGAGCAGAGAGTGGGAGGTGATGGGGGCACCATTTGCTGGCTTGCTAGTTCCAAGTCTAGAGTTTTCCACCAGAAGCCTTCCTTGCATCTTCTCTAGAATGAGATTATCTGAGAGTAAGGATGTTGATGAGAGCAATGGAGATGGAACTGGATTGTAGTGACATGTTTCCATGGGTTAAAGAAGACCACCATGAACAGTGCAGAAATAACATCAGTCAAAACATGCATCTCTATGTTTGGGTGAAGGTCCTGCTTTTGACTGAAGCACTGATTAGGCTATTCTAGAAATGCAGCTGAACTGATATTCACTTTTCATTTCATGTAGCATGTTAGCAATTGTCATTTTGGTTTCTGAATCTTTATTTCCACATACTTTTTTTGAAAAAAATTTTTTTTAATTTTAAAATCCAAGCTGCCCATGAATTTTACTCCTTCAGTCCAGAGGCATGTAAAGTATTTTCTCTTTTTTAAAATTTTTATCTCTTCTTTTCAGTTTCAGATGACAGTAGAGTCTATTTTGACATATTTACACAAACATTCTTATGGGAAGAAAGAACTCCTGTGCCCTTCCAGTAATGGGGCCTCTTAGAATGCGGCCCTCAGGGCACATCCTCTTGAACCTGCTGGTCCCTAACAGCAAAAGACTCCAGACTTTGTGATGTGCAAACACAGTGAAGTATCAGACATGTTTTAAGAGTAGGTATTTTAAGAGTAGCAAATCAACTGAGGGATGGAACTTTTCTAGATAGAGTAGGCAAATATTTTTCCCTCAGTTAAAATTCTATGAAGTTTAAAGATTTTTCTAGAATGAAAAGCAGCTCTGCACAACAAAGAAACACTTAACAGTGAAGAGACAATCTATGGATCAGGAGGAAATATTTGCAAGCCATTTTTTAAAATAAGGGATTAGTATCCAAAATATGTAAGGAACTGAACTCTAAAGAAAGAAAACACATAATCTGATTAAGAAATGGTCAAGGAGCCTAAACAGACATTTTTCAAAAGAGGATAGATACATAAAGAAAAATTCTCAGCATTGCTAATCATTAGGGAGAAGCAATTAAAGCCACATTGAGAGATCTCCTCACACTTGCTAGAGTGGCTAATATAAAAAAGATGGATGATAATTCTTTCATGCTAGTAAGGATGTGGAGGAAAAAAAAACTCTCATACACTGTGGGTGGGAATGTAGATTATTACAGCCATTATGGAAAATGATATGGAGAGTCTTCAAAAAATTAAAAATAGAACTACCACATGATACAGCAGTTCTGCTTCTGAGTATTTATCCAAAAGATCTGAAATCAATATGTTGAAGAAATGTCTGCACTCTCCTTTCACCAAGATGGGAACAATAAGCCTGACTTTTTAAAAAAAGATCTATTGCACAACATGGCGAACATAGCTAGTAATTGAATATTGTATATTTCAGTATTGCGTCAAATGTTCTAATCATAAAAATGTTAAATGTTTGGACTGGGGTTGTGGCTCAGCGGTAGAGTGCTCACCTAGCATGTGTGAGGCCCTGGGTTCAATCTGCAGCACCACATAAAAATAAATAAAGATATCGTGTCCAACTAAAAAATAAGTATTAAAAAATGTTAAATATTTGAGGTTAGGATATGTTAATTAGGTTGATTTAATCATTCCACGTCATATTTAAAAATCTCAACATGGCACTGTACCTCATAACTGTATGCCACTATAATTTGTCAATATGTAATTTTTTGAAAGGTCTATAACCCAAACAAACAAACAAAAATTAGCCTTCAATTTTTGATCTTACCTCCCTGCTGCTTGCTAAAGATTTTGTTATGTATTTTTTAGGAACTGGGAGTAGAGGAACATAAAATTACAAGGTGGGATATATCCAGTGACATTTACATTTGTGTTAATATACTTTTAATTTTTCAGAGCAGATAGTCCTGTTTTCTTCTGGGCATTTTAACAAGAAGCTGCCCACTTTAACAAGACTGAGCTTTGACTTACAAAAAGGGAGTTTTTTCTGCCTTCATATAGAATTTTATTTCAGTTGGGCCTGACGTTTGGCTGATCACCCTTTTCTTTAAAAATATCCAAAAGAAAATTTTTAATTTCAGTGTCAACCCATTTTAATGTCTTTAGAGTGATCTTGATGTCTTAAGAGTATTTTTAATGTCTGTTATGAATTAATTTTGCTTTTGTTATGTACAGTTTTATTGCCTCTTTGCAGTAGAATAGAAACAGGCATCAGCCCATACACAGAGAAGTATCAGGAATCCTAGAATGTTTTTCTCTACCTTTAAACCTATTTGTAAATATTTAACCAAGAAAACTTAACTTCCACTATTACCCCATATTCATCAGCTCTTTCTTCAGAGGGAACTGTAGTGTTCTCAAGAGATTCTTTTGGCATCTTAAACAAATTGCATTTGTGGTTAACATTATGGTAGCAGAAGCCTGAGTCATGAAAATGGTACTTAGAGATGGAAAAGATGTGTCAGTGTTGAAGCAGCTGTTCCCAGAACAGGATCTCAGGGTTTTTTTTTTTTTTTTTTTTAATGCTGTCTCCCAATAAGCTGACAAGAAACCATTTTTACTGGAAGAGTCTGCTCTGTGTTTATGTGTCCATGCACCTGTATGTATTTTATTATTTGTTCAAATAGTCAGTATTTCAAGTTTTGAAATTTAGAAAGATGACATCAAGAGAGACTGAAAGAGTCTAAGGTGTCCAGTCAAGTTCTTTTTATTCATAGAAGTATGTGTATAATGACTTAAAATACGACCATGTCTTTCTTCCATGTGTATGAGTCACTTCAACAGCAACCAACATGAGTTTGAAACGGCCCGTGTGTAACTCATCCTCTTGCTGGTGGTGAGATTATTTATAGGGTCTCCAAATACATGTGTCTAGGAGCTTTAAATTGTGCTAACTTGGGCTGGGGATGTGGCTCAAGCGGTAACACGCTCGCCTGGCATGCGCGGGGCGCTGGGTTCGATCCTCAGCACCACATACAAATAAAGTAAAGATGTTGTGTCCACCGAAAACTAAAAAAAAATAAATAAAATAAAAATAAATAAAAATTCTTTCTCTCTCTCTCTTTCTCTCTCCCTTTAAAAAAAATTATGCTAACTGAAGACTATTAGCAAGTGAAGGAATAAATAGGATGTAGGAAAAATACAAAAATGGAGAAATTTATTTGAGAGAAACAGGAAGACTAGGGGCATGAAACAAGGAAAGTATGGGAAGAGCAAAGAAGGATCTGCATTGGAGGAGCGTGTGTGCCGTGGTCCGGAGCCTACAGTCTGCAACCAGACAGCCTCATTTCAGTCTTCATTTCTCACCCATTAGCCTCGTGGCCCTGTGTAAAGGAATGTTTCTCAAACTTCTTTGCCTCTCATTCTCATCTGTAAAACCACCACAGTGCTTACTAACTGGATCAACACATTTATTAGGGCAGAATCTAGAACAAACAAGGACTTCATTAATTATTATTAGTAATATTTAGGTCTGAACTGTCCAATATGGTAGCCACTGGTCACATGTGACTGGCTGATTAGTGCTTAAAATGTGACTGAATCTGAACTGAGACGTGTCATTCAATATAAAATACACATGGAATTTCAAAGATGGTAGAAAATGAAATGTATAAATATTAATATACTTTGCATCATGTGCATATTGAAATGATAATATTTAGTAATAATATCATTTAGTAATAATATTACTAAATTAATTTCGTTTTTTTAACTTCTTAACGTGTGGCTGCAAGGACAATTTTAATAACATATGTGGCTTGCATTGTATTTCTGATGGACAGTGCTGGCCTGGACACTTTCCTTTTATGGCAAGAATCGAGGAAGAAAACCAAATCCTAAATTGTATTGCAAAAAGAAAAACAATGTGGTCATTGGGCTTGGCCTCACAAGCATAAAAGGCAATATATAAAGACAGAAATACCATGAAAAATTTGAGAAAAGACTTTGGTGGTACATCCTTTGACTCCATGACCAGACCACTGTGTCTTACACATTGATATCTTATTATGAATTTTATCGATATGAGCAGTACAGTTATATTTAAGTAGTTATTATATGTTCAAGTGTTTTTAAACATAAACAGCTTTTCCAACTGTTTTGTTATTTAATTTTTAGTATTGTGAGCATCAAAATGTGGAAGTGGCCTGGCCTCCTTTCTACCTCTGAGAGGCTACTCCAAACCCCAAATTGAGATATATATCTTGAATTATTGATGTCTAAAGAACACACACATTCTTCATTATTTTTATGCTTCATATTTTATGTGGTTTGGAAAAAAATATTCACTTTTAAAGCAACTAGGCGGGTGGGTGGGGGGAAACACAGGGAGAAAAAGCCCTGTTTTCTAAAAGGAAAGAAGCTCTTGCAAAGTTGAGTCCAGATGCCCCAAGACCTTGTCAGGAGGAGGAGCTGGGTGACCCTGGTCACAGAGGGTGCTTCTGGGATTGTGCCAGGGGTAAGAGGCTGGGATGGTGAGCTCTAGCTGGGACAGAATGTTTTTGGGGAGATTTGGTTCTGGCTTTGACTCAGCTTGATTTGGCTTATTCTCCCTTTTCTTGCAGTGAAATATGAGGAGTTATACTGCTTTTCATTCAACCCCAAGCTGGATAAAGAAGAAAGAGAACAAGGTTGGATGCAGATCGATCTCAGTGAAGAATACAAGCGAATGGGCCTCCCTAATAATTATTGGCAGCTCAGTGATGTGAATAGAGACTATAAAGTGAGTGGAGGCAGTTAGCGAAATCCAAATAGTCAGTCCACATGGAATCATGACTTTCATATCCTTTGGGTGTTTTGTCTCTTTGTAGGTATAAGTGTGTGGGTTCCTAAGCCTCTCTTAGTTATTGCTAGCTTTATTTTTTTCTCTCTGCACCTAGAATCAGAAAGTTTGAACAAGGGAACCTTAGAGACCATCACTAGTAGATATTCCTCCTCTTATGTTTGAGGAATTGGAAATTCAAGGAGGTCCTGTGGAGACCTTGTGGCCAGGCAGTTGGTGGGAGGGCTGGCTGGGACCTCATTCTCCCATCACATCTTTTTATAGCACAGGGAGTGATTAGTGGGGAAGTCAGAGAGACTCTGATGGCAGTTTGGCACCAGCTCCTCAGTGTGCTCACTGGACTTTTGATTGGTACACAAGGTCACCAAGAGGTTCCCCCAGAGAGATGTGGGGAAATATGTCTACTCTTGTAGAAAGGAACAGAGAGAGGAGGGAAACAGGAGTAGCAAATGAAACTCATGTTCTTTGCAGTGGTGGATTTTCACATCAGTGTTGGCTTCATTATTCTTAAACTGTTTGAAGCAATAATATTAATGTAAGAAACTTCCAGAAAGTTTGCAAAAAACTGAGGGGGGTTAATTACCAACCCACCACCCCAATACTTTAACATTCTTCTGTGGCTTTTTTTTTTTTTTTTATTCTTGTTATTTTGTAGTGTTGGGGATTGAACCGAGGGCCTGAGGCAACCTCCCACCCCGAGTCCACTCTTCTGTCTTAAAATTTTCCTTCATTTTTTTTTCTCATCTACTTACTTTGATAACTTTTTTCTTATCTAAGTAATGCTTGTGTTTTGGGCCATTCACATTGACTCTTCTGGCAATTGCCTGTTCATATCTCTGCTCTTTTTTTTTCTGTAAGATTGTCTTTTTGGGGGGGAAGGGCTGATAGAAGTATTTTATATATTTTAGGTAATAATCTGTTATAATTTGTGTAACTATTGCAAATATTTCCACTCAGGAGCTGTTGATAGTTCCTGGGGTGTCTTGATTCTTTTTTTTTAATCAAGTTTTATATTTTAGCATATTGTTGAAAAATAAAATCCCTGGTCTATTTGCTAAGCTTTGTCCAAATTTGATACTATGTAAATTCTATAATTACATTTTTAGTTATTACGATTATCATAGCTTTATAATAAATCTTAATTTCCTTTAGGTTTGGTCCTTCCACATCCTTTTTCAGAGTATCCTGCATTTATAGTCTATTTGGGGTAGAATAGATACTCAATATACTGATTCCTCTTTGTAATTACACTTCAATTTAACAATGAAGCCTTGTTTAATCATTTTAAAGTATCTGGGTAACACTATCAGTCTAGTTTTTTCTCTTACTGAAGCCAGCCTTTGCATTGAATTTTTAGGTTGGAAATAAAAGGAAGGGAAATCCAAGTTTAAGGAAGAAAATTGGATGTCTCTTTAAAAAATAAAATAAAATAAAAAGCATGTACACATCCTTGGGCAAGGAAGAAAATGAAGTGGGGCCACATCTAGTGTAATAGCGTTTTCTTGGAAATGCACGTTCTTTTTCTTTTTGACAAGATTTCCTTTTAGAATTAGCATTACAGACATGACTCATGAGCAGTCATTAAAGTCCTACATTGTACAGACTGCAAAACATGTTACTCAACATTTCTTTTCAAAAGTAACACGCAGCAAAACAAAGATAACCATCAATAAACTGCATTGAGACAGAAGAGGTAAAAACCTAGGGAATTTTCTGAATTTATAAATATCACTGAAATAGGGGAAAAGATGATATATCCTGATTTATTACCATTTTAGAAATAGGATACAAATTGTGTTCTTCCAGAATATTTCTGTTAGTCCACTGAGAGAGTTTTGTCCTAATCCCTTCCTTGTGATTTTCGTCTCATGATGGAGAAGATGTGTACTTTTTGATTCCTTCCTTTACAAGTCATTTTATTTTTCTTCTCATAGATCCTTTGAGGTAGGTGGGGCAAATGGTGTCACATGATGGAGAAGAAAACTACTGATGATGGAATTGACACCAGACATAGAGTATGATGACTTAGGCCTCTAGAGGTAGTTCTGCCATTTTCTATTTGTGTAGTCTTGGACAGGTTAATTATTAATATTATTATGTCAGTTCTGTCCTCATTTCTCCATCATTTATGATACTTGCTTATGGTAATTTAACTCTCAGAGCCAGGATTTTGTTTTATATCCAACTTTGGAATTATCTGTCTTTAAATAAAGTAATTGGCATTTATTACTAGGTTAAATTTTCAGTTGAACTCTCTTGGTCTACAATTTTAAATATATCCCAAACCTGTGATTTTATAAAAGCCATTTACTTCAGTTTGCTACACCTATGTTTTATGTATTATTATTCTATTTTATTTGTTTATACATAAGTCATTTTGTGCTGTTCATACCCTTCTTTTCCTCATTCATCATAAATTTCTTAAAACAAGTTTTAGATCCTAAATGTTTAAGAAGAAACTTTGTATGTAGGTATATCCCAATTCTTGACAACAAACACTTATCTGAAAGTTTTTGATTGAGTAATTGGCCTTGAATACAGAGGTCTCAGACCACCTGCATCGCATCTGAGATGGAAAACAACCTGGGACAGCAATTCATTTACTGGAAGTTTATAACCTGGTCAACAAAGATCAGTTGTTCTGGGAACATGAGATGTTCAAGGCCCCCAATTCTGTTGTTTATATCTGCCCCAGTACCTAAAAACAATGCCTGGAATATAGTAAGTACTCAGCAAAAGCTTATTGAATGGGGCGAAAGAATTACCAAGAAAATTCCTCAGGGTAGGACAACACAGAGACGTGCGGGCACTCCTGGCAGGCTAATTTATTTAGTGGAAGGAAAAGAAAATTGTTTTCCTTATTTATTAAAAGTTAAAATGATTAGCTTTCTAATCTATTTTCATAATTAACTAAGGCACAATCAGAAGAAACATAAAAGATTCAGGGAAAAAATCTTCAGGAAAAAAGCTTTTTTCACATTTATGAACTTTTCCTATTCTCTCTGAATTTTCTTTCTTGATTTTCAAAACCAGACAAAATTGTGGGAGGCTTATTGAGGTTAATGGTGGCTTATATTTCCACCATATTTAAAATCTCATCTGTGCTATAATGTGGTACATGATTCATTACTAGAATTTGGACTGCAGCTCTGAGCCTGTAGTATAAGTGACAATTTACCACATTTTTTTTATTGTGGTAAAAAATACGTAACACACAGTGAGCCATATTAACCATTTTAAGTATATGGTTTGGTAATGCTCAATATATTCACATTATTGTCTAGCTTATCTCTACAATAAATCAGCTTACAAAAATGAAATTCTGTGCCCGTTAAACAGCAACTCCCCATTCCCCCTGGCAACCATCATTCTACTTCTGTTTCTATGAATTTGATTATTTTATATAACCTCACATCAGTGGAATCATACAATATTGTCTCTGGAGTGGCATAGGTCACTTAACATAATGTCCTCAAGGTTAATCTGTTATAGTATGTGACAGAATTTCCTGCCTTTTAAAAAAGCCTGAATAATATTCCATTAAAGATCACCATATGTTGTTTATGCATTCCTTAGATGATGGACATCTGGTTTGCTTTCACCTCTTGGCTGTTATGAATAATGCTGCTGTCAACATGGTTGTACAGACATCCCTTTGACACTCTGCTTTAAGTCTTTTGTTTATTTACCCACAAGTGGGATTGCTGGATCGTATGCTAATTCTATTTTTAAAAATTTGAGGAAACTTCCTCCAGTTTTCCATAGTGGTTGCACTTTTTAACAGTCCACCAACAGTGGGTTCCAGTTTTTCTCCATCCTTGCTAACACTTGTTATTTTCTGTTTTACTCTAAATGGTGACAACCCTAACAATTATGTGTATCTTCTTTGGAGAAATGTCTGTTCAAGCCCTTTGCCTATTTTTAATCAGGTCATTTGATTTTGTTGTTGAATTATTGGGGTTATTTCTATGTCCTGGGTAATAATATAGGAGATACATGATTTGCAAACATTTTCTCCAGTTCCATAGGTTGCCTTTACATTGTTTTGATTGTACTTAGACACACATTTTAAAGTTTGATGTGTTCCCATCTGTCCCATTTCCCATTGATCTTATTTCTTTTTTATTGTCTTTTTTTTTGTATCATATGTAAGAAATCAATGGCAATATAGCTTTTCCCTTATGTCGTGTGTGTGTGTGTGTGTATGTGTGTGTGTGTGTGTATGTGTAGTATTGGGGATTGAACCCAGGGGCACTCTACCTCAGAACTATATCACCAGCTACTTTTATTTTTTGAGACAGCATCTCACTAAATTGCCAAGGCTGGCTTCAAACTTACAATCCTCCTGCAATAGCCTCTCAAGAAGCTGGAATTACAGTTGTGCATCACCATATAAAGCCCCTGAATTACTTTTACAGGAACTTTATAAATTTTTATCTTACATTTAGGTCTTTAATCCATTTTGAGTTAATTTTTGAATATGGCATAAGATAAGGGTCTGCCTTCAATTTTTTGTATGTATGTATTTAGTTTTTCCAGCACCATTTGTTTAAGCTGTCTTTTTCCTAGAGTGGGCTTGACAACCTTACTGAGGGTCAACTGGAATATGTATGTGTGTGTGATGGTTTGTTTTTGAGTTCTTTTCTCATTGATTTATTTGTCTGTGTTTAGGCCAGTATCACTATTTGATTACTATAAAATATATGTGACATTGGAATATACTTTGAAATTATGAAGTATGAGTCTTCCAACTTTGTTCTTTTTAAAATTGTTTTGGCTATATGGAATCCTTTGAGAATTCATACATATTTTTGGATGAATTTTTCTACTTTTGCAAAAAACACTCTTGGGATTTTGATAGGGATTGCCTCAAATCTGTGGGTTGCTTCGGGTAGTATGGACATTCTAACTGTATTAAGTCTTCTCATCCACGAACATAGGATGCCTTTCCATTTATTTGTGTCCTCTTCAGTTTGTTCCATCAGTGTTTTTTAGTTTTCAGTGTAGGATTTTTACTTTAATTTGCACTTGCTAGCGCTGTCTACTTTGATGAAAGCAGGATGAATTTCTTTTCTTCAGCTCTATGAGAAGTTGTATTTTTTAACTGGCACTGAGTCTGAGTTTTTTCAAAGGTGTTTTAACTTGTTAGAGCTCCCCATGAGAAACTCTTCAGAAAGTTCTGTATGTACCATGGAGTTTTTCTCCTGAGACCCAGTGCTCTGGGGAAAGGAGGAAACTTTGTAACTGGTTATCATCTTCCTAGGGGGAGATCCTGCCAGCCAGTGCAAGCCTGGCTGCTATTGACTGGGCTCAGGTTCTTAAGTTCTTGGCCTTTGCACACACTAAGCTGTGAAGGTCTACATTTTTCTGTCTTGGAGAGTGAGAGGTCTGATAGTCTGAGGGCAGGGGTCTGTGTGCCCAGGTAAACAAAGAAGACTGTGCACACATAGACAATAATATGGTCCTTAAGTTGGATTGAGAGTGTCAAGGAGAGTGGGCTCCAGATGTTTATCTTCTTTCTTGGTCTCATTCCATCTGTGGTGCATCCAGGGCCATGACCTGAGCCAAGCTGGACATTTTCTGGCTTTGGGAGACCCGTCAAAGGACCTGGGAGGAACCTCAAAGTTTTTTACTCACCTCTTGATATTCAGAAGCAATATTGAATAAGTATGCTGAGAACTACTGCCTACTACTTAATCTTATTTCATTTAGTCATAAAATTTTGCAATTCCTTATTGTTGTTGTAAGGAAGAAAGTAGGTAATCCCCATCTTAGTGAAAAACCTACTTATTTTTTTTTAAACTGTTATTTTAAGAAAATGTCTGTCTGGTGTAATGACTGCATGTCTTTTGAACCTCAGACAAGCAGGAGTGGTCTATGTAGTAATGATCTAACAGCCTGACTTCAGGCGGCTTTAGACACTGGGTTGGCATGGGGACGGAAGTCCGTGTCTTGCGGCAGTCATTCTAGCTGTCCCAGTCCAAGTAGGCTTGGCCATCTGTTCTTGGTACAGGAGTTTCCTCCAGAGTGCTGGTGCCAGAGCCCACAGTAAACTCTTTGGTAATCTTTCCTAAAATATCTTTGGGGGAATCCGAAAATTATGCTTTGGGTCTGTGGACATACCCTTTGTGGCCCTTTTATCTCCTGCTCCATGTTGTCCACTGGTCTGGTAATGAAGATGGTAAAGGCAGGCAAGGGAGGGCAGCATGATGAAACAATTTGTAAGAGCTTAGGAGACTTGGATCTCACATGTAGTTGGCTTGCACTCCCTTCAGTTCCATCTTCCAGAGTGGTAAGGGTGGGTGGAGATGGACAGAGGATCTGCAGATAAAGTATTTCCTCATTACTCCACCTACTTGAGAACTCTTGATTTGCCTAGGAAGGAAATAAACAGCTGCTTGATGAAGCCCAGGAAACTGCAATTGACACATTGCAGAAAGATTGATAGACTGATGCAAAAGCAAAACATGTGTTGAGCAGCAGCTATAACTTGCTCCCATTGGCGTTCCTGTCAGCTGTGACAGTTTATAAAGTACTTTGTCACGAGTGCTATCTGATTTGATCATTTTATCAACCCCTCGAGATATTATTGCTGCAGTGTTGGGTTTAGAGATTAGAAAACTAAAGTGCTCAGTGTAGTCTGGCTTCTCCAAGGTCATAAAGTTGCTAAATCAGAACCAGATGCTGAAGCAAATTACAAAATCCTTCTAAGGTATGAGAGTTTCCACTGTGATGATTCCTGCCAGAAAAAGTAAATCATTTCTTACCACTTACAAATCAACACTTATAAAAATCAAATATAAATAAAGCTGTGTATTGTGTGGTAATGAGTGGCACATTGGGAAATCAGATTCAGAAGTCTATATGAACTGGAGGATCAGAGAGGAGTCCCCCTAAGGGAACTGGAACTTGGTTTGGCTCTGGAAGAATCGATGAGATTTGAGTAGGCAGGACAGGAGTATCCAGGGAGGGCAAAGGAATGCGAGCCTTTGTGCCAGGGACACAAACGTAATCTGATGACAGCTACTGTGCTTGTATTTTAGGAAAATTGTCCCCAGTGTCAGGCAGTCTTTCAATCAAATACTACTGGCTTAAGTTTTCTCAGCTGTTAGGAGGCAAAAATACAATTTGTCCCTTTTTGATGGACAGAATGCTCAATTTTTACTGGACTGCTTCACAAACAGGGTCCCAGGAGAACAGGGACGGTGTAGAAGGACAGGATGCTCAGGGGTATCTTGTTTATTGTCAGAATCATCACAAAGAATCAGTGACACTTTATTACTTGGAAGTGTTTTGGTTTTCTCAAAAGAGCTTCCTCTGTAACTTGGTTGAAAAACTTAACGTATGCCACCTACAAGTAAGGTGAAGTGGAATTTCTGGTGGCAGTTTACAAAAGATTACTCAATTGTCTAAAAATCCTTCTGTATTTTCTGGTGATAGGTCTGTGACTCTTACCCAACTGAACTGTATGTTCCCAAATCAGCCACGGCACACATCATCGTAGGGAGTTCCAAATTCCGGAGTAGACGGCGATTTCCTGCTCTTTCTTACTACTATAAAGATAACCACGTGAGTCTCCGAGGCATGCTTTTGTTTTACACGTTGCTTTTCTGTTTTATCATCGCCAGACCTTTTTCTAGCTGCCCTCTGTTCACAGTGTGTTTGAATTCTTAGAGGTATGTGGCTCTTCCTGGGTATGGCATAACTCAGTGCAACTATGCTAAGACCTTCATCTCATATAGAAGTGGACCTCTGTGTTTGACAATAAAGTAATGGGTTAGATTCAGACAGTACCTGAGCTTAATCTTCTATGATTCTGACCCTCCTCTAAGCAGTCCTCTTGAGAGACTGCCTGTTCCAGTGCTGGAGGACCTTTGCATGTTGATGTTAGAAGAGCCCCTGAAGTCTGCGACACATTTTTTTCCTTTTCTTTCCATCCCCCTTTTAATGACCATGTTCCTTTGAGTATCCTCACTCTGAGAAATCTTCTGGCTGTCATTGCTCATCAAAACCCACACATGGAACAGGCCATCTTCCATAAAAAGTTAGGGGATACAAATTCTATAAGTGTACTGATCTTTCTCTCTTGTGATTTTGACCTTTTAGGTTTAAGACTATGTTTCCCCCCCAGCAGTAGAACGTTGTGCTTGTAAACAAGAATAACAATTTTATAGTTAAAATACTGGAATGCACCCCCCCCAGGGGGGTGGCTATTACTAAAGGGACATTTTGATGGTAAGATGACTTGGCTAACATTGGGCAGTGGGAATTGGTGGTTAGATGAGTGGGCTAGGTTGAGCCTCATGGACTCCCTTTGGAATCAGATCTAACCATGCTCATTTTATGAACCTTTTGAGGTTCCTTTGATATAAATGCCCCTGCTGCTGGTTCCTAATTCCCTTTAGATCCACTATTGCCATACACAGTGTTGTAATCATGTCCTACACACCTGTTGGTGAATCTAGGGTGGCTTAGAGTGATGGGATGGCCAAACTCATGACGCTTCACAATGGACATAGTAGATCCACAGCAGCTTGAGATCACATGGACTCAATGCCCAGGGGAGGAGGCTACCACATGCCACAAAGATCCACATGGGGGTTGCATTGGGGTTCAAGGGACAAGCAGGGTCAGGGAGAGGCAGGCTTTGTAGCATCAACCTGATGAGGTCACCCCTGGCTCCTATAGGAATCTGTGACAGGCTTATTTGAATAATTCTGTGGTCTTCTGGGAAACTGAAACACCATACTTGGGGATGAACATCAACTGCCCCTACCCTGCTAGATAAGGAGAATTGTTTATCCATAGAAGCAGATTGTTGAGGGGAGCTTGCATTGGGGACCTCTTAGTTTCACCAGATGTCAAGGCAACCCATAAGGTTAATTTTAGGGCTTATACCACACCTGGGCTAGGTAGAGTCTCATGGACTCCCTTTGGAATCAAATGGCTTTGCAGATCACAGACAGAGATGTATAAGTGTTCACAATTTCGTGCATGTTTGTAATCAAGAGCTCTCAGAATTGGTACATTCTTTCTTCTTATTATATTATCTTTAAAAAAAGAGAGTTGTTTGCTTTAAACTGTGCACCACATGGTTTTCTAAATTCCCAGCATAAATTTCTGGGACACACAACTCTTAAAGATTTCTAGTGGACATTTCCTTAAGAAAAACAGCCTTTCTTTTTATCACTAATATTCATTGAAACCTCTTATGTGATAGGCACAATTCTAGGAGTATTATAGTGTTATATACTTTATCACACACTTTGGTTTTAATCTTATTACTATTTTATAGATGCGAGAATTGAGATTTAGAAAAGATACATAAATTACCCAAGGTCATATAGTAAGTGAGACTAAAACTAGGATTAAAAGCCAGATCTTCTTGAATGCTGCTCTTGATGCTGTATTAGGCCATCTGGCTTATTTTTCTGCTGGGGGTGCTACTTTTAGGTAAGAATTTAGGATCAGGAAACACTGTCTGGAGGAAAATCATGGTTTTACTAATTACTAACTGTGTGATCTTGAACAAGTTTCTTAACCTCTGTGTGCTTTCATCACTTCATCTATAAATAATAAAAGCTCTTACTATATATGATAATTAGAAGATTAAATAAAATACACAAAGTTCTTTTTTTTAAATTTATTTTTTAAATACACAACAATAGTGGAATGCGTTACAATCCTTATTACGCATATAGAACACAATTTTTCGTATCTCTGTATATAAAGTATGTTTGTGCCAATTTATGCCACTATACATGTACTCTTTTTTTGCATTACAATTCTTAATACACATATATACCACAATTTTTTATATCTCTGTTTGTATATAAGGTATGTTGGCACCAAATTAAAAGTGAAGTTCTTAAACATGTGCCTGCCACATATGCACTCAAAACATGTAGATTTTAATGATTAGTAGCTTTGTAAATAAGCAGCTTTCCTGATAATACCACTGGGGATGTTTTAATCTCTGTTCTCAGGACCTTGACACCTGTAGGAAGTGCTGCCAGGGCCTAGTAATACTTTCTTAACCTCTCGACTATCTAGAGTGTTTATAGGATACGAAGAAACACTCACTGTTTGGTACAAAATTGAAAACCGCATGTGAGGAATCCCTGAGTCAATGAGGAGTTCTTTTTGTAGCACATCATAGGTCCAGAAAATGACCCACAAAAACACTAGCATGAAGTCCATTTAACATGCCTGTTATAATGTATTAGCCACATTTCATAGTATAACTGTTCCGATTAACCCCTCATTTAAATCTGGTTTCTCTGCCCCAGAGGTAATTGGTAATTGTTGTTGTCACTAATTTGCTTCATTTAATGGTTGGAATCTCACTGGCTTAGTGAGTTTAGGTGTGTGCATTCACAGACCAATTCTTACTTTTAGAGAAGGTCCCTTCGCTTAACTCTTCTAATAGAATCTAATAGGTTGCCTGGTGCTAGCCGTCCTCAACTAATATTTCTTTAACCCAGATAAAATATCTTGTGAAGCCAACTCAGAATTATTCACTCTCCAGTCAGAATTCCCTCAGAGCAGGGTGGCAGACTCTGACCCCATAAAGACCACTACTGAAAGGAAGCCGGACCCCAGGCCGAGCCATCTATGGCGATTTGTTGGTCCTTTGCTCCCCAGTGTCCTTTGGTCTCTCTTTGCCTTGCTTCTGCGTCTTGCCCTGGTTTGCTGTCCTCTTCTCCCATGTTCAGACCCTCTGGTCCCTCTCCTCTCCCTACATTCAAGAACTAGACGTCTTGGAAGGGACTCAGCTGCCCCTTTGCTTTGTTTTCCATTTTCCATGCACTGCCCTCCTGAATTCTGAGTGTAGCGCCAGGTCCTAATTTCCTTAAACCACATCAGTAATGGTCCCTTTCTACTTCAGAATGGAACTGGCATCCTCAGATGTCTATATGTCTAGCCAGTCTATGATTCTTGATGTTTATGACTGGTGAGAAATGTTCCTACCTGCTCCACTGAGGGGTACCGATGCCCACATTCTTCTGGGGAAATGCAAGCCCTTGCCAAGTTGTCTTGAGTTGGGCTTTAGGAACTGGGAAGCTAGAAATTGGACCCTGAAAGGGCACCTTCTCATGGGTGGAGCCCTATTATCAAGCCAGTTGGGCAGGAAACGACGTATGGTGACTATTTCCTAAAAGGGGTTCCCCTTCTCAGTCTTGTCTGGAGGGGTTCACTTCTCACCAACCATGATTACTGCCTCCTCCTACCCAGGGGAATTGCAGACTTAAGGTAGGTTCTTTGAGTCACTCATGTATTTTATTTGGAGATTTATATATTTAATTTAAACATTAAAGCAAAGTTTAAATCTACAAAAAGATACTTTACCAAAAAACCATAGGTTTTGGGCTGAAGTTGTGGCTCAGTGGTAGAGTGCCTAACATGTGTGAGGCACTGGGTTCGATTCTAAGTACCACATATAAATAAATAAAATAAAGGTCTATTATCAACTAAAAAAATATTTTTTAAGTAAAAAAACCTTATGTTTTATAGCTGCATATTCATCTGTACTTACTTATTCACAACTCAGGGGTAGGTTTGTGTTCTTCCACATGTCATTTAACATTGCAGTATACTGCCGTCCCTGAATGGGGAATGGTTTAAGGATCCCCCTCAGAGACCAGAGTCTGATGATACAAAAATAGCATGTTTTTGTGTATGACCTGAGTGCATCCTCCTGTGCAATATATTCTTTAGATCATTTAAAATACCCAGTGCAATGTGAATACTTTGTAAGTAGTTATTATGCTATATTGTTATAATGACCAAAGAAAGTCTGAACTTATTTAGTACAGGCACAATTTTTTCCTGAATATTTTGATCCACTAATGTGGGATCTATGAATATGGAAGGCTGATGTACCGTGTTAGGATTGCAGGGTAAGGACAGTGCAGTGAAGAATGCAGATTGATGCCAAAGTAGCCCCTTGATTCTAAGCACACTAGAGTCAGCACAGATTTGTGTCAAGCTGGTACCAAACCTGGCAGCAACCTGGACTTTCATTACAGTGAAAATTTACCATTTAGAATTAGAATTGCTTTTTAGTATTGGTGATGTTTTTAAATAGGTTAGTTGAAAAAATGACCAGCAGCATAGCATTAAAAATACATGCACAAAGCTATGTGTGTGCGTATGTATGTATTTATTTATTTATTTTTTTTTACTGGTCTTGCCGTTAGCTCTATCCTGTAAGTTTTAGAATATTTATTTTGTATTTCTGCTTTTGGCAGGAAAATGAAACAATACCAGTGAAAAGGAAAGTAGGTTATTTAAATGGCTTTAAATTTCATAATTTTGATCTTATCTAAACATCTTCACACATTCCTGATATCTTACACAAAGAGTTTTTGTACTGTTTGCACATGAAGTGGTTTCTTTGACCTGAATTAAAAATTTAAAAAATCTTGATTTCCAGAGACAGTGTTACCTTATTTTCATAAGCGGGTGTGTGGTGTAGGTGAACCCAGGGGTCTCTGTTTGGGAGATACTCCCAGAGTCTTCTGGGTGCAGTTGCCTGATGTTGCTGTGTCTCTATGGCTCTCCCCGCAGGCCTCCATCTGCCGGAGCAGCCAGCCCCTGTCCGGCTTTAGTGCACGGTGCCTGGAGGATGAGCAGATGCTCCAGGCCATCAGGAAAGCCAATCCAGGAAGTGACTTCATTTACGTTGTGGACACTCGGCCTAAAGTAAGTGGCACCATTCCAATGCCTCTATGCGGCTCTGCGGTGGGCAGCCAGAGTCCAGGCAGAGCTGACAGTCCACGCTGCTGGGTCTGCCCAGGGGCTGTTCCTCTTTGCATGGTCAGTACTCGGGTGCCCTGCTGGGCTGCTTTCTGAGGGCCTAAGCTCCTGAAGGGCTGACTGTGTCAAGCACATTTTCTGTTTCCCCTGCTCCTAGCTTTGTGAGCACATTAAATGAGGCTGGCTCAGTTTTAGAAATTGCCCTCCTAAATACACCCAGGGACCATTTGATTTTTTCCTAAAACACCTCTTTCTGCTCTGACAATATGAAGTTTACTGTGGAGCTCCAGCAGTTCAATTTTTGTGAGGCATTCAGATACATGCTTTCAGATTCTACTTGTGGTGATCTATACCTATGATTTGGAAAGAGCTACAAAATATAATGTTAAGTTTAAAAAGGTCACAAAATAATATGTATACTATTATATTTATGTAAAAAACCTGTACATATGTAAAAGTATATAGAGTAAGATCTGGAAGGATAAATAGCAAGCTATTAAAATTCCATGGAGAAAGGAGGCTTTGGAGAGGTAGAGAACTTTTTACTTGTCTGTTAGAAAAATGTTATTTTTTAATTACCTATGTATTAATCTTCTAGTTTGATGAAACTTCCAGTAGGAAATAACAGAGCTAGGGGCAGGCCAAGGTGATCTTTCACTTCCCTCCCATTCAACTTCACTTTTTTAAAAGCACAGAACTGAGTACAGTACAGTTTTCCAGTTAAGCTCCTTAGACCCAGTTTTTAAAAAATCAGTCAAAAAACGGAGTCCCCAGAGGGATATGCCAGTGAAAACAAAGAAACGAATCACCTCTAAGTACAGTGAATGTATTGCATGGAGTGAGATGACAGAATGAAATGTCCTTTATTCGATATATTTCCCATTGTAGTTTCTATCCAATAATGAAATACATCTGGACCTATGACTGATGAGAGTGAAGATACACATGCAGCTCTTTCTCTCCATGTGGGTATGGAAAGGAAAGGAGTCTAACAGGTACCATTAAACAAGAGTAGGATGCAGGAACGATGTGTAATATAATCCCACTGGGAAATAAAAAAACTGAGGGAGGAAGTGTATATCAAAACCTGTAGTTGGTGAGAGGTGAATGTTAAGAATTTTTTACTTTTTAAATTACTTTTTAAATTAGGAAAAAAAAATTATGTTGGAGTTCTTTTCATCATAAAAAGGCTTAAAGAGCATAAGGACCTTCAATGTTATAGAATTACAATGTGACCAGCAATTCCATTCCTAGATATATACCTAAGAGAAACAAAAACATGTCCACATAAAACTAGTATTTGAATGTTTATTCATTATTAATAAGACCCCCCAAAAAGTGGAAATAAATAAATATTCACTAAAATATAAATCCACTGAGAATGGATTTATAAAATGTGGTATATCCATTCAGTGGAATATTATTCAGCTATAAAAGGGGTGATACACTGCAATATGATGAACCTTGAAAATGCTGTTAAGTGAAAGAAGTCTATGCCAAAGGACACCCAACTGGGAGGTTCCATTTATATAAAATGTCCCAGGGAATTCACAGTGATAGAAAATAAACTGATTATTGCCTTGGCTGGGGGGATGGGAGGAAATGGTATGTGAGGAGGGCAACTGCTAATGTGAAGAAGATTGTTCTTTGAGGTGATGGAAATATTCTAAAATTAGATTATGGTGATGGTTGCACAACTATGTGACTATACCAAACGCCATTGAGTTGCACTTTCAATGGGTGAATTGAATGGCATGTGAATTATAAGTCAGTGAATTGTTAAGAAATGAACATAAAGGGGCTGAGTATAGCTCAGTGGAGAATATTTGCTTAGTACCCACAAAGCCATGGGTTCAATCCCTAGTACCAGCTGGCGGTGGTGGGGAACACAAGAAAATAAAAAGAGCATCAAAAAAAGAACAGAAAAATAGGACCCACATCTTCAGTCACTCGAAACATACATTATCAAAAATAAGTATTTATAGATAGTCTGTACTCAGTGGAAATTTGAGAAAAAAAAATGAGAATGGGATGTGATCTTTTTGTGGATACTCAGACCCTGGTAATTTTCACTGCTTCTCTGAGCCTCATTTTAAAAAATATTGTGATTCATTTCCTCCATCACTTAATGTAATGTTTTCCTCATGTAATGTCAGTGTTCTCCTCAGGCCCTTGGCCTCAGAACAGTCCATTCTGTTTCTGATCAGAGTGTGCTATGGAATAGCCGTGTGGAGTAGTAAGGGTGGAGTTGTTCTCAGATGTCAGATCAGCAAATCAATCGTGGAAACCAGCCATGAAACATGCTACGGCCAGGTCATAGTCACATTCTAGTAGATTACACATCCAGATCCCTTCTTTTTAGATACACTCTCAAAGCACAACACATAGGCAAAAGCTTCAAACTAGAAACAAAAAATAGCTTTTCAGCTTAACGATTTTCACTTGATAGTTGCCAGAAAAATCTCTGACTTGTACTGTTCTCCTTCAGTTTGTGACCTTCTCTCTGACTCACGCTTTAACCCCTTCCTGCAAATGCTGACTGCCTTCCCTAAGTAAAGTGGAGGTCTTCTGAATTTCCTAGTAGTTACAGAGGATGAATGAATGAATGCCTGCTTCTTCAACACACATACTGAAGACCAGGGCTTTAACTGAGTAGAGACTGGAAAGCCCTTTTCCTATCCTGTTTTTCCAGCTTCAAATAAAGGCAGACAGATTCACCTGCTAATTTAAGAGCCAGTGATCCAAGTTTGCACTGTGTTATGTAAGCCTTCCCTAGAATGTAGCAGCTGTAGGGCCGGGCATATTCCAGATTTAAAACAAATTAATCCAAAGGATTTGATTTGAAGGGTATATTTAGCACTTAGTGTGTTTACTCTAAGAGATAAGTGGTTCAACACTGATCCATTAAAGAAAATTGGTGGCTCTCTTCTTGTATTTATCCCTGCACACACACTTCACATGATTTTTAAACTGTTTGCTTCCTGCTTTCATTATTTTAGAGATCGTGTATGTTGATTTTTGTTCCAGAGTGTGTTAGGCTCCCTTGGTAGCCGGGAGACTGAGTTCATGTTAGTCATAGAAGGTGTGGACAGTGGCAAACCAGGTACTTCCTAAAGTTGCTTACAGGTTTGATTAAAAAGAGAAAGGCTTTGGAGGCAGCCTGAAGGAGCCAGGTCCTTTGGGCAAGGCTAGCCCCATAGGACAGCCTCCAGAGCAGCTTGTTCAGGTGAAAGCCTTCTAAATTGCTTATTGACAATACAATCATGGGAGGCAAAGGTAGTGAAGTCCTCAAGCACGTATTGAATATCTCCTCAAAAATTATGTCCTCTAGGTCACATATTACCGCTAGAGTTTGGTGCATGAGGAAAATTTGCAAAGGCGTTGATGCGGCATTTGCTGGATTGTAAAACGAGGGATAACTCATTATATCTCAACCTTGTTCATACCCTTCTCATGTTCTGGATTTTGCTGAGCTTTTAAAAACTGCCAGGTGCTTTCGCATTTAACATGAGAACCCTGCAAATTAGGAGATTTTTCATTTTGTAGGTAAGGGCTTAGGTCCAGATTTACCTAAGGTCACACAAAATTCAGATTGAAATCCAGGCCTGTCTGTTCATGGTGGTTTGTGGGTTTTTTTGTTTCGCTGTGTGTGTGTGTATACAAAATCTTTCCCGGGGGAACCTCATCCCCATGTTAGGGTTCAGGAGGATTGTTACTTCTGAGCACACACAAAGTAAAGCTGCAGACTCAGACCTGAAGAACTAACCATTAGTTCACCCAAAGTCAGGCCAAGGCCAGAGAAGCAAAAAGGTTTCTGAGCTGTACTTTGAACACCAGCCCCTGTGGAGGAAGTGCTGAGCCAGGCACTGGCTTCAGTTGGTGCTCTGCCTTTTGTCCTTGTTGCACCTCCAGAGACTGTTTTGTGGGTGTGGTCTCCAATTTCACCTTCTCAACGATTTCCTATGGCGTGACATGATGCCACGTGGGATGTTTTTCTTTTTCTCTGGAATTGGTGATTAAGTGGCATTATCTACTCACTGGATTTGGGAAATTCAGTTGTAAAGATTAGGGTTGCCAGAAAGAGGGGAATCTAGGATCTCATTTCGTAATCAGATGTACATCGTGTTTGCTGAGGGCTATCCTGGCAGCAAGCAGAGGAAGAGAGAATGGGAGGGAGACAGGGTGTGGGGGCAGTGGAGCAGTTCACATTCCTGCTCTCTGTTAGGGCAAATTTCCTGTGAGTCGAGCTGGACATGAATTATCTTACTAGAACCTTCCTCAGAGAGCTTGCCTGCTGGGGGTCTCTAGCTGCATGTGACTGTGGGATATCTTCTGGCAAGGGAGGCTGAGGGAACAGGCTCACACCAGAGTGGATCTCCATGTCAGTGACATGTGAACTTCCTCTTCCAAGAACCCACATCACATGCCCTAGCAGATTCACAGAGATGGTCATTCAGTGTGATCCAGGAAACAGAGACAGAATCACAACCTTGCCTAGCTTTGCAAAGAGCTCTTCACCACCGCTGCCCGACACTACACAGAACCTAGATGAGCGAGAGGAGGGAGGGTGTCCCAAAGCAAAGCTCTCACTGGTCCACACAGCCCAGAATCGGGGAGGGAGATTATTTGCATTATACCTGGGTTCCTATCTGAATATGTCCCTCAAGCTGATATCTACTTACAAAGTAGGAAAGGAGGAATTTTGACCAGCTCAGTTGGAGACAGTAGTTGTAAGAAATAAAATCTTCTCATAATTTCACATTGTGCTGCAAGTTAAGGTTCTTCACTGAACCAGTTATGGATGGAGGAAGGGAAAAGGACCATCACCGGACAAACACCAGGGCATGGCCCAGTCCTCCTCCTATGAGATCAGTGTTTGTTGTCGTTTCCCAACTATGCCAGATGAGGACCTGTTGTTACTTAGGCATAAAATGTAACTGCTAAAATCTTACACTCCAAGCCTAAGATAGTGACCAGCCTGCCCTTTAACTTGAGATCAAGATGAACTCTTGTGTTTTCAGAGGTTTGATTGATTGAGGGTTGGGGGTGAATCTGACGTTGTTTCTTTACAGTCTTGGTCTACTCATCTCTTACTTCATTCTGTTATTCAATCACTTATCCAGTTAATCAGTCAGTCAGTCAGTCTTCATGAAGTTCCCGTTCTGTGTAGTAGGGGTATGGCCCTAAATGTGGTGCAGGAATATGACCATCAGTGAGCCTGACAGGTCTCCATGGGGCTTATGTTCTCTACCCCTCCTCTCATTCACCACTGAATGTTTCGGTGCCTGCCTGCTCCACTCTTCTCATTCTGGTGGATATTCTCTGTTGTGGACACTAAATAAATCTCATTTTTTTTTTCTATTTAAGCACGCTAAGAAATTCCTCAGTCATTCTCTGCTATCTCAGTTAAAAATTTAAATTTCTTAAGTGAGTCTATTTGCAGAGTACCCTAAATGCTTTTGAGCTTCCTCTCTTGCTTCTGCTGCCATAGATGAACTTCTGCTCCACTCGGAATGGATGGCTCACTGATACTGACCTGCCCCTGTCCCTGTACCTCTTCTCCTCTTGCTTCATCTTGAGGGTCCTCCTCTGTGCTTGAAGTCCAGCCTGAGCTTCCACTCTCATGAAACAGTAGCCCACACTGGGTTGCTCTGGACTCCAACTCCTGCCGTGTCGCTGTCTCTGCCGTTCACTCGGGGGATTGTCTGTTATCTTTTGATACTCTGTGCTCTCCTTTCCATCGCAATTGTAAGCTCGGGACAGCAGAAGTAGATTCTTGTGCATCTTATCATTGTACTCAGTGCCTGGCACACAGTTCATTGAGAAACAACCAAGTTTCTTTTGTTTGATTTATGAGCTTCTCTGCACCCTTTATGCTGTTATCATCAAACAGCATATTTTCCATATACATATATATATAAATACTAGGGTAACTTTTTGAATATTTTCAAATTGTAAAACTGCGTTTCCTGCTTTGGGGTTTCAGCTTTTGTCACATTATGGTTATAGATCCTGTAAGTAGGTGAAACTCCTGACAAAAATTACACTTGGGATGGTAGATTAAATATTGCCACCTTCTGTTCATTATGTGAAATACACACTTGCTCCCAAGATTTCCCTGTGTTTGCTCCTTTGTTTTTAAGGAAGACTACCAATCAATTCTCCCACCATCTATAATTGATGGTTTAAAAACATGGAGGGGCTGGGGTTGTGGCTCAGAGGTAGAGCGCTCACCTTGCACATGTGAGACCTTGGATTCGATCCTCAGCACCACATAAAAAAATAAATAAGTGACATAAAAGTATTGTGTCCAACTATAACTAAAAAATAAATATTAAAAAAATGTGAACATGGAATCAATTATAGATTAAAATAATAGCAATAGTATTTTATTTCACTTTTTTGAAAGAGTGTCTCTGTGGTATGTGTTGAGCAGGCTTAACTTGAATTATTCAAGAAACAGGATAAACACAAGGTTCATGTAACATAAGGATACTTGCAAGTATCTTATTAACTTGTTCTGTTTTATGAAGCTTGTTGTAAGGGATAAACCTCTGAAAAATGCTTATATAAAGCAGTGACATTTTATAATGCATAGTTTTAGAAGAACATGCCTATAAGTAATTTTTTAAAAAAAATTCCCTTAAAATATTTAAAATTAAAAAAAATAAACATAAGTTGTCTTTAAGATATATGATTAAGGTGTTTCCTTGATTAAGTCTAAAGCCTGTTTTATTAGGGGAAAGGTGACTTTTTAGACAGGGAACAGTGCCCCAAGGTACTGACATTCCCCCAATGAACTGATGCCACATGAACTGAATCATGGAGCCAGGCTGCCATTGAGATGGGAGTCCCTGGGTCTGGCATGGTAGCACATACCTGTAATTCCAGAGGCTCAGGAGGCTGAGGCAGGAAGTTCATGAGTTCAAAGCAGCCTTAGCAACTTGTTGAGGCTCTAAGCAACTTAGAAAGACCCTATCTCTAAATAAAATATAAAATGGGCTGGAGGTGTGGTCCAGTGGTTAAGCACCCCTGGGTTCAATCCCCATACCAAAAAAAAAAAAAAGGAAATGGGAGCCTGGGAACCTCTATGGCAGTGGCTTACCTTCGCTGTTTTATTTTTAAACTTTGATACATTTATATTTGTTATTTAAATTACAAAGTTAATGTATGTTCTTTGTAATAGTGAAGGAATACAGGAGTATCTAAGGTTTATAAATGGTGTTTCCCTGCCACTTGCCACCCTCTGTCTTTGTGCTATAATGGTTGCCAGATCAGCATATTCTTCCATATATTCTATTTTGCTTAATAAATATGCATAAACATAAATGCATATCTGTAAATTTGCTTTTATTAGAAATGGATAATTATATGAATTACACCCTCTCACACACACTTACACACACACACACACACACACACACATATATATATATATATATATATATATATATATACACACACAAACATGTATCCTTCTTGACACCTGATAGTAGTCTAGGGTAAAAGTAAACTGTAATTTATCCAGTCATTGCTCTATTGAGGAATTAATGGGTTTTAAGTCTTTCACTATAATAAAAATATTATAATAAACATTCTTAAACATTGTCATTATGTGCTGGTACTTTTGAAATTTTGTCAGATTATCAGAAGTAGGAGATCTGGGTCAAAGAATATATGTGTTTTTAACTTAATTTACTTTTTTGAAAGTATTGCTTTGCATCATGCTCTTAAAAGTGATCATTTTTTTGTGATAGTGTGATCTTGGCATAGGTTCTCTCCCTGGGCTATCCCTGCTGCCCTTTGTGGGGTGAGCAGAAGAGTCAGTGAAAATGTTTCTGAAGATGTCACAGTCTGCTTAGGCCAACAGCAACAGTGGAGTATTAGCAGACGCATGTCCATCTAGAAATGGATGCATTTCCCAGGACAAGGCAGGACTTGTCCCCTTCTTCATTTTACTACATAGAGCTTAGGCAGAGAGATTTTGGACTTAATAAATTTCTTCAGAATCCATTATCAGTTTGAACTAAGAAACCTCTAACTTCTCGTGTGCAAAATTATGATAATGAAAGTGACAAAGGGGAGAAAAGCCCATTTATTAGGTGCCTGGATTTAGATAGTGGCTGGCAAGTGTCTGCATTCCTCTTTTCACTTTATTCAGTGATTCCTGCTCAAGGTTTAGTTGGGTATCTGGGGGATCCTTGTTGGCAAATTAGAATGAATGTGACATTTGATAACATGTTTATTGCAGTATCATATTGGAAGGTACCATAATGTAACTTATAGAGCATTATGTTGACAGCTGTATCTGCTGATATTCTGCCAATCTGCAGGTTGTAAGATATGTTATTAAATCGGAACAACTTGGCTCCATCACAGAATTCCACATTCAGTTTGGCACCTCTGACAGTAAACTGCAAGAGGCATCTCAAGGAGGGTTTATCTATAGAATGCTTCCCAGCTAAGAAAATGTTGTGCATGCCAACAAATTCATGCTGTTGAAATAAAAGCTCATTGTGAGTCCCTGGAACTACATAGCTCAGTAGAGTGTCCCAGTGATTTATATCATATTATGTTTCTGCACATGATTTTGAATGTTTTTATGAATATCTGTAAAATGTTTTGGTTGTTTCGTGGCCTGAATATAATTGATAACTATTTTGTTTTGCTGACCACTGCAGCTTAATGCAATGGCAAATCGTGCTGCAGGGAAAGGCTATGAGAATGAAGACAATTATTCCAATATCAAGTTTCAGTTTATCGGGATAGAGAACATCCATGTCATGAGGAACAGTCTGCAGAAAATGCTGGAAGGTAATCCATTTCCCTATGTACAGCATTTAAAAAAAAATTAAATATCTTGATTCCAGAATGAAATTAGATAGTCTTTTGATTTTAAACTTTTTTTTCCCACAATGATGCTGTTTACATAGGTGTCATAAGCTTGGAAAAGTATCATGTTGCTGTGATTCTTGAAACATTCAATAGTCTCTTTTTTCCTTTAACTATTACTGTGAAGTGGTTTTGTCACTTGATTAGCAGTCAGGGACACTTCAGTGGCACTCAACATCTAAGATAAAAGTGCACAGGGATTTTTTTTTTTCTTCCCCACATTAGTCAGACCCACATTCAAGGACCTTTAGAGAAAATGATGCTACATTTAAATCAATTCTTTAATTGCTGTTTTTGTGTGGAAATCAGGTTAATAAACTGTATCTCTCACTTGCTGAGTGGCCTTTAGAAGGGCGGGTATTGGAAGTCCTTGAACTCATTTCTGAATGGCAGCAACTGCTGCAATACACACATATATACCACCCTCCAACACTAGCACATGTAGCAAAACTTGCACACACACTCTGCATGCTTTTGTGGAGAGGAAATGAAATAGATGACACATAAAACAGTTATTCATACAGCCATAACTGATCAGCAGAAAATGTGCATTTCAAGCAAAACTGGATCCTGTCTTACGCCCCTTGTGATCATAAAGACCCATGGAAGAATCTATTGCCATTGTCCATCATTTCTGACACCAGAACCAACTAAGAAGAGGAAGAGGAGGACTCAAAAGCCATGGCTTTTGCCTTGCCTCTAAATGCTATGTGTGTCCTTCTGGTGAGCACAGCTGAGTGCTAGGAAAGTGGGCTCTCGCAGTAGGAAATGTGGAGCCTGGGGTGTAGATGGATAAAGAAGGTACTGATTTGTTTTTTCTAGAAATGCACACTTGCTTTCAGTTACTTATGTAGTTCTCCATATAATTAGAAGGGCAGGGCGTAGTGAGGCTGGGGGATCTTGAGCGTCTCAGACAGACCAAATGTCCATTCTCTTTTCTGGCCTCTCTAGTTTATATCAGTAATTATGAAACTTTGAGCACATCAGTTAATTTAGTTGGGGCTCTGTTACTTGCTGTAAAATGGGGGGATTGGGTTAGTAATTTCTGTGGGCCTTTATTATTGCAACAGTTTGATGCTGTGATTGCAAACACTTTAAAATTGAGCATTTGAGGTCTGGGGGTATAACTCAGTGGTAGGACACTTGCCTAGTGTGTGCAAAGCCCTGGGTTCCATCCATGGCGCTGGAAAGAAAATTTGGGCATTTGAATGTTTAGAATTAATCCTTCCCTTCAACTGAAAAAAAAAAAAGAAAGAAAGAAAAATCACAGTCCTAGAATTACCTCCATCTGGTTCTTCACGTAATCTGCAGTCTCTTAGGTCACAATGGCAATACTCTGGGTATGATTATTTGAGCTTCTTACACTTCTAGAGATTTTAATGAGAAGTCTGGCTATCTTTGATGTAAGCTTTTTACCCCTTGAAAAATTGAGCTAGCTTGATACTGTTATAGAAGGGGCAATCTTTATAGAAACTTCAGTATGAAGAACACTCATCATTGTTAGACTCATAAAAACCCTTTATGTTGAAAAGTTTTACATTTTTCATTTAGTACTTTCTAAATTGGCTTTTGAGAACATCTTCTACGCAAAAAGTTGCACACAGAAATGCTTATAACATATAAAATTGACTTCAGTTTTCAAATTGGCATTTATTTGGTTTCTCAGTGCTTATCCCTATGGTCTGACTGACTGTTTTTTTCTAAAGGACAAGCAAACTGACCACATTCTGGAGGCAGCTCTCCTTTTCATAAGGGCTCATGGTATTTGTACATAACTTTTCCAGCTACGTGCAGTGGCTGTAAGCAAGGACAACTTTCTGGATGCCATTCAGGTGACTTGACCAATGTTTGACTATCTGTTTTTACTGAGTAAATTATAAACCACTTGTGGAGGCTCAGCTGATGATGAAGTGATGCAATCAGAGCCACCTGAGGAAGAGGAGGTTTCTTCTTCAAACAGCTGTTCTTGGCATCAAAGAGACGGGATGGTTTACACTGATGCGCCTGGTCCACAGGAAGAATGCATTTCACTCATGATGTTTACTTATTTTCTTCAATTTTGTCAAACCTGTTGTGGATATTCTCAGAATAGATTCTGGACAATAGAAAAGTAAAATTATTTGCATTCTGGCTGCAAACAGTTCTGTTTGTAAGAACTGTGAGATATTTCATCAGGAACAGAAATCTAGGACCAAGTTCACATCCCGTATAGGTTTATAATAGAGCTAATTTAACTTAGATTTATAAGTTCTAAACTAAACTACTTTTGTGGTATTCCCACCCACTAAGGAGATACAATGATGCCTTTCATAGCAATTTGTAACTTATTAAATGTTTTTCATAGTAGTTTCTCTTTCGATCACATATAGGATGGTTTTCCTCTCCAGTGATAGGAGGACATCTGGTATTGTCTTTGGTACTGAAACTGAGGATATTGTTATCATCAGAGGTGGAGTTTTCCCTCTAAGGAATCCTCAGTGTTGGGGAGGGAAACGGAGAGGGGCATAGAGAGGTGTGCACAGAACTGTTTTCACATCTCCACTTGGTGAGGTGGTGCCACACTGTAACGGCTCTTCCTGTCCTCTACCTATAGGGTAGGTGGATGCTTATGGGAAAGGCATGGGAAGGACATTGTCCACCTTTTTCAATCAACATGACATCTTTTAGATGCAACCTAGAAAATTTCACTATCTCCTCATTAGTAGTTTGGGGCCTAAGTTCCACACAAATCTGAAATTGATATTGCTGTTGTGTAGCTCTTCGCAGCTGACCACTTATCTGTTGATTTATTTATTTAACTAAAAATTGAGCAACTTCTATGAACCAGGCTTCATAAATATTTTTACTTAGGTAATAATTGTGTTTGATTTTCACAGCAATAGTGTATAGTGCATATTATCTGTACTTTATAGATAAAGACAGTCTCTTAGAAAGGTTAAGCATAGATAATTTTTAAGAGGAAGCAGTAAGTTGAAACAAATAGTCATGTAAAATGTGTATGTAAATTTGCTCTAGAAACAAAAGAAATGTTCTTTAGTTATTAGAGCAAAGTACCACTTTTTTTTTTACCTTTTTAAAAAATTTAAAGTATCTAGTACTAAAAAGAATGTGATGAAATTAGCACTTTATTTCTGGTATCATTTAAAAGTTGGCTTAGAGAGACATGTTTTCTTTAGAGATGTATATTTTTTTTTTCCTGATTGCCTCCTTTTAGGGACTAATCCAAAACAGAGTTTAAAAAGTAAACACACAGACATGCAAGTATTGACAGTAGAGTTTTATTTATAATAGTAGTATAGTTGAAGCAACAGCAGTTGTCTGCTTAAATAATTTTGCTCTACCTTCTTGATAGAAGATTTGGCATCTGTTAAAAATAATAAATATGAATAATATGTGTACTAATACAGGAGAATGGGTATAATATAAGTTAAAAATTTAGGCTGTGGATTTTATATGTACTTCTGTTCACTACAGTAAGTCATATGTATGAAGTAAGGCTAGGAGAATGTCCAGAATATCACTGGGTTAGCACAGGAGAATGAAGGGTGATATTTTCTATCCTCTCATTTATAGAATATTTGCTCTGGGTTTTTTTTTTTTTTTTTTTAATGATACACATTTGTTATCTCACAGATTCTGTGGGTTAGGACCCTAAACATGTGTCATGTGTAAGTGGGAACCTGGAGACCCCCTTCTGGGGGCTGGAGGAGGCTGCAGTCAGCATCAGCTGGGCTGTGTTCTCCTCAGGAGGCTCGGATGGGGGAAGGAGCTGCTTCCGAGCTCATTCATGCTCTTGGCAGAATCAGCTGAAGGCCCCACATTTTATTGGCTGGAGGCCACTCCCAGGTCCGGAGGCTGCCACAGCTCTGCCACACAGACTTCTACATAAGCTGGTCACACGTGACAGTTTGCTTCTTCAAGGCCTGTAGCAGTGCCTCTCCTGGTCTATTTCAGTTGGAATTAAGACATTTAAAAAAAAAAATCTTTCCCATTATTACATAACAAAGCAGGATTTGAACCTTGTACCTTCTGTCATGTTACAGTGATCCTTGTTTTGTGGTTCTGATATTAGATAGGCTCACAGGAAACCACCACACACAGTAATGATGACAAAACATTTTTCAAAGGATTACTGTGTACTCAACACCCAAATTTTAAAAGTTTATTCAGTTGAGCCTTGTGAGATCATGTGATGGCTGCTCTTATTCTCTTTTATAGATGAGGAAATTGAGGCACAGAGGCTAAGTACCAGTGTCAGCTCACAATAATAAGTGATAGAACTGAGATTATTACCTCATTAGTGTGAGTTCAATCACCACACTCTTAGCCACTCAGCTTTACTGCCTCCCTGGGGAGTGGGTGAGGCCTAAGTATGAAAAGACCTAGGTTTAGGTTCTTGCTTTAGACCTCAAGTAAGACTAATACTTCTCATTTCCTGTATGTGTAAAGCAACATCAGTAATATGTTTTCTCTATTTAATTCAGACATATTAAAATGATTCCTTGCAAACTACCAAGTACTTTTCAATATGAGGAGCAAATGCTTTCTCTTGGGAAGCAATAATGTATTTAAAAATAAGTATGGTGGGCTGGGGTTGTAGCTCAGTGGTAGAGCGCTTGCCTGGCACATGTTTAGGCATTGGGTTTGATCCTCAGCATCACATAAAAATAAATAAATAAAATAGAGGTATTGTGTTTATCATGCCCAGTGTCTGTTGGGCATTTTGGGCTAAAAAATATTTTTAAAAATAAAAATAAATATAAGCACTGGAAGGCTGGGGGAAAAAAAGCTCAGTTGGTAGAATGTTTCCCTTGCATGCACAAGGCCTTGGGTTCACTCTCCAGCACCACAGGAAAAAAAAAAAAAGAATTAAAAATAAGCACTGGATAAAATGGATAGGTTGATGATGAATTCAGTCTGGC